CTACTAGGAGCAAGGACGCTACTAGGGGCTCCTGGCCGTACTACTAGTAACAAGAAGCTACTAGTAAGATGAACCTAGTGGAGATCATTTACACTTTGGGATCCGATTGAATTCCACATGTATTTGGACATGACCAGCTAGGTCAAATGAAAACATGCTCACAAAAGAATTGTGTGGTCCTCAATGTGTGGCATAATGCTATAGTCTGGCACCAAGAGTTGCTTTTCAACCTGATTTTGACCGATGTTCGAGTCTGTCTTGGGACACTTTGCTTCTCGAAACAATGCGCGACCCGAAGAAACAACGGTTCTTCGATTCAATTCGAGCTCTTCTGTTTTGTGCCTTGCTCTTCGCCCTGGCACGCTTGCCTGGCGGTGACCTAAGTAGAACAGCTTCACCAATCGGAGATCACTGGAGAACTCTGTGGTCAACACATACTACATCCTCTGGAAGCGAAGAAAGCCAAGAACTGACTCAACATGAAGAAAGCATGGTCCAAGCATGTCCAAGCAGTTTTATTTTTTTTTCGAATGCAAACGTTTTAGACAGTCAGATCCCTCAGGAGAAACCCAACGGTTTTAGGTCCTCCCGCTGCAGACCAGAAGGAGGGCTCTTCAGCTCTCGGCCCTGGCAAAGAGCTCACTCAAAGTATTTGCTCCTCCCCCCCTCCCTACTTAATTAAGTAGGCGCTCAATCAAGTAGGACGACTAGTAAGCTACTAGGCTAGTTAGCTTCTAGTAACTGGACACAGGATAGCTCACGCTTCTTCAAGGAAGCTCCCCCCCGCCTGAGGGCCAAAAGTTTCCTTGAACAAGCGCTCCCACTAATGATTTGGTTCCTAGACTTTTAGCTTTTAGGGAAGCTCCACAACATTCAACATCTTCCTAAAACATGCTGTTTTAGATGCAACAAGGGTCGTACTGTCGTGTAGGCTTGCATAGAACTGTGAAACCATGTGAAGCCGCTCTGTTTACAGACCTACCCATGAGCCCGATTGAAAAATCCGCTTGAATGGCCTCGAATTTGCCTGTAGTATTGGTGTCCTCTCGCTTCACCTGCTCCTCGTTGGCCCTTGGACAAAAAAAGACATAGAAAGACTATATAGGTGCTGTTCGAACTGTCTCGTGAATACTTTTGAGGTGCACATGCATCTGAGCAGTGCTTTGCACGATGCATTGCATAACCCACAACGCCAAACCATGTTCATGTCATGCTGATGCTGCTCATGCTGCCAATGGCTGGACAAAAACGTACCCGCTCACCACCGCTAGCAGCTCTCCGAACTGACAAAACACAAATCACTTGTTGTGTTAATTAGCGATGGGTCCAAGAAGAAACAAAAAGAATCAAAAGGATCAGCTTTATACAAGGTCTCCCGTCTCTTCCGATTTGTTCATAGTCATGCTTTTGTGATACGTGTGTCATCTTTTGTCTTCTTAGTCCTACTTTAGCATACTTTTGTCACGTTATTTGATCCCCGAATCTGTGATGACCATACCCCAATTCTGATACAGTAAACCTTTATGCGACATTCGATCATGCTTGTAATGAGATGGTGGAGACTGTTGGCGCAGTGCTTTGGATCAAGAGCTGTTGCGGCCATTCTGCTCAACTCCAATTTCAGCTGGGCTTTCAGGCAAAGACTTCTGTGTCTCAAAGCTGCTCCCCTGCAGATTGGAGTTGAGAAAAGGAGAAATTGGAGAAAGTCTGAACAGTTCGCGTGTGATCGCGTGTGCACAGAGCCGCGGCGTTGCACCTTCGGTCCATCCAACTGGCCTCCTATTCGGAGCAACCAATCCTGCCAAAATCACAAGGAATCCTCCTAGCTCTCAGTCCGAACACTTCCAAGATTGCTCATCCCAGCTCTCAGTTCTTGTACCGAAACGATAGCAAAAGGCTCACGAGCTGCTCCTCCAACTCTGGACCTCGTTATGACTCTTCTTCGCGTCGCTACGACCGAGACGAGACGACAAAACGAGTCGAAGCTGCTCTGACTTCAAGTCCCCGGGCGTCGAAAGCTGTACACCGGGATGCGTCCACGCAAAGGACCTATGTGCCGCACCAGCCTGGCGATCGAACACCGAAGTGCACACGCCACAGAACCCTACTTGGTTGGTCTCTTAGTCAAGACAGGTTAGAGGAACGCCCGTCTTGACGAGTCCAATTCGATCTGGAAGTTGGTGGCAGGAAAGCTGGGGTGAGAAATAACCTGGCAGAGGCATGAAGAACTACAAGTCGAATGCGGTTCAAAACAAAGTGCATCATGTGACACCGAAGCAAATCTGCAAAACCCGGGAAGCCCAACTCCAAGCAGAAAGTCGTAGATCGGCCGCAGGGTACAGCGACGAAAGTTGAAGTCCTTAAGTTCATGATGTCATGTGGACAAATCAATGCACCTTGCGTGTTTCTGATCATTGAAGTCTGTCTGTCTCATGTATCTTATCTGTGCATCCTCTTTGCATCGGTGATGTTGATTTCTGATGACTTATGTTCTCTGCCCAGCTTCATTGTGGCCGCAGTCACAAATATGAAAGTGGCTGAGCTCCTGCAAGAGAGAGAGAGAGAGTGAGTGAGTGAGGGAGGGAGGGAGGGAGGGAATGAAAGAAAAGCTTGCAAACACAACAGTATGCGCACTGTGCATGGCATCAACAGCTAGCATGCAAATTTGCCTTTTCGCCTTTGCCCCTTTAATATCACTTCCCACACTGACTCCACCCAGATTCTAACGCACGGGACCATGATGGAGCTCCAGTTGAGTGCAAAGGTCAAGCTACCCCTCCGATGTCTAGTGTGCTGACGGATTCTCATTGAATCTCTAACCTCTTCGTACCGGTTCGCTTGGTGGCTGGATTTTACAACATTGCTTGGCTAAGCAAATGTGCCGCCCAAATACACTGGAAAGAAATGTTGGGAAAACAAGCAAGCGACAAGGTCGGTCCCTTACTTTTCAGGAGCGCTTGAGTGCAAGAAGCGGAACAAACTAAAAACGGTGCGGCCAACCCAAAAAAAAATGAGATCTCAATTTCCGCCGCACCCCACCAATTCTGCTGACCGAGGTTGGAGGCCATGGCTCTGAGGTTCGAGGCCAACCCTAGTAGGTTGGAGGCCAACCCTAGCAGGTTGGAGGCCATCGCTAGTAGTTTGGAGGCCATTGCTAGTAGGTTGGAGGCCATCGCTAGTAGGGTTGAAGGCCATCGCTAGTAGGTTGAAGGCCATCGCTAGTAGGTTGGAGGCCATCGCTAGTAGGTTGGAGGCC